TTCGTGCCGAAAATGTTCAACCCTCCCAACACTCCGGAGCTCCGCCCCATCGAGAAGTACTGGGCGATTATGAAGCAGCACCTTCTTAAACGACCTAAGGTAGTGAAGACAGTCGAGGAACTGAAGAAAGTATGGGTTTACATGCAAAAAACGGTTGATTCACAGGTTGTGCAGAATCTTATGGCCGAGGTTAAGGCCAAGGTGCGGGCATTTGCGTATGGACTGTAAATAAAATACGAGTAAAATGTTAAAATGAAGTTTAATAGTTATTTCTCAATCCCTGAAAATTTGATGGCAATCGGATGAAAACTCGAATTTTGCGAATCAATTTTGTGTGTGGCAATTTCATCGTGGACACCCTTTATTTGCTGTTACTCTACGGACTCCTCTTCGATTCGAATTCATCAGATCATGAAGAACAACCATGGAATCGTAGATAGAGCTCCATCTTGTGCTGTTACCAATCGTCGCTTCAATTCTCATATAATGACGTCAACTGAAACCAAACTGCGGTTTTGCTGATTCCAAATGACTTTGTGCTTTAGCCATGGTCCGTCTATAAGCTGATTTGAAAATAGAACTTTTGAGTGCCTTATTTGTGTCAATACTTGCCACCAGCAGCGACGATGTTTAATAAGAAACGCGCGAAAACTGAAGCCAAAAGTTCCAATCGAACCGTCAAACGCGGTTCCAATCGAGCAATGTAAATAAACACGAGCGCTTTACGAGGAAAAGCGTGAGAAGTATTGAGATGGCGGTTGAAATTTAATTTTTGAGATTTAAATAGTTAAAATTAAGTTTTCCTAATAAAAAATATCACAAACGAATGATAGCCCAAATTATTGAACTATTCTACAAATGGTTTGAATGATATCCGAAACACGTCGTTAGCCAACATATGCATAACAATTTCATTATGGTTGCGTATGAAAAGTGCAATTGGATGCTATTTGACTTTTGAAATACAAATAAAACACAACTAAAGTCTGATCGCAGTAGGCCGCGCTTGAAAGCTGACGTGTTTTTCTTTTGCTGCGTATTTTTCGTCAGCGAATGAAACTTTTTTTTTTACTTTGAATTTGTTAATTTGTGTGCTGAAATTTAGTTTCAAGTGTTCATAAAGTTATCATCTCGGTTATCATTTAGTGATATATCGTGTTTTTCCTGTGTTGAGGCGTCCAGTTTTGAAAGAAAAGAAAGAAACAAGAGAAAAAAAATTCCGCCTTGAGTGATTCGGTTGACCTTGAATTTAACCTCCAAAATCTATGTCGCAGCTTCAGTTCCATTGTTTGGTGTCGGTTTCATTGCCTCCCGGGGGCCCGGTTCTCCGAGTTCGGATGCCACACTTTCGGCGTGTAGTTATATTGAGAGATTCGTCACCGTGGACGAGTTTTAACCCGGTCCGATAGCTGAATTAGCCCGGGAAAGTGCTGATAATGTGCCCGTCGCGAGTTTTGGTGGTGATTCGGTGGCAGACGTTGCCGTGAATCAGCAAGTTTTCCGCTTGCAAAAGTGTTCGACTGCTCTCTTGCCGGTGTCGGAGATTGCGACTAATCTGAAAAATGCCTCGCTGGATACGGCCAAGACTGGACGGGGTGTAACTGGTGGCCGCAAAGCACTAGACGCAAAGATCCTCCCAGGCATGGCAGTGCAAAGAAAATTTGTGTTCGGAACTACGGAACCCATGGATTGGTGGATCAAATTAACATAGTGAGACCAGTCCAAATACTTTTTACAATTAAAAAAAAAACATAAACTAAATACGTGCCAGGATTCAAAAGAACATTTTGAAGCTGGAAGTGTGTGTATAATACTAATATCCAATTGATAGAGGTAATACATATATGCGCGGCTTATTGTAAGTGAAAGTAGCCTCGGAATGGACGTGACTCTCCAGACATTCTGAAATGGGTTGTTGGATCTACAAGAGAGCTATCACTTTCTAACTCCCGGACTAAAGCTGTCTACAATGACCATAAATGCGACATTGTAGAGAGGGTTCTTCCATAATAAAACCATAGAGGTAACTCTAAGACAGTAGGTCCCGAAGAAACGTGCTCAACTGTTTGGCTCAGCTCTGGTACTGTCTTCAGTCCTAAGCTAATCGATGCTCCCCTCGAAACATAGGAAAATCCACTAACCCCTCATTTTATCTGTCAAACTTTCATAGCGAATCAAAACAAACATAGTGTAGTACTGGAATTTATACTAGAATGGGATACGTTAATCGATTTGTTTGGGACCAATAGACTAGTCAAGTAGTGAGCCAATTTAAAATCGTTAGTTTCGAATTGATTGTTGATAAAACTGCCGGCCAGTGGGGGTTGAAGGGAATACACACACACGCTCTGTAAAATATCCGCTCCAATATGATATATTTGATTTCACTCTGTGTTGTCAAAAATGGATTATTCAAATACTTCGTTTGAATACCGATACTACCGAAACGATCAGAAAAGTATTCGGTCAAATTAAAAGTCACTCGAAGTAGACACAAAATTGTAGGCTGCCAAACCTGGCAGACAAAATAACTTAGATGGCCGTGCAACCAGATTTACTTTTATTCTCTTCGCGCGTCTCTTATAAAACATCGTCTCTGGCCACCAGGTTGAACGTACACGGAACCGAGGGGGACGACTCTATCTACGATGCAGAAAATATTGTGTTTTGCTGTGGCTAGCTGCGCGTACGCTGAGTAGATAGAAAGAAGATTTATCACGATTTTGAATATTTCCTGCAAAAAGATGATGCGCGATGCAAGTAGATGCGAGAAATGAAAGAAGATTTATTCGCTTAGTGTAAGATTTATTGAGCATCTAAAATTGAGATTTAGATGTGTCACCCCCCCCCCTCGCACGGAACCGAAAAATTACCCAAAATTAAGTTCTTTTCACTCATTTTCCATGTTCCGTTAAATAAGCTAATTTTCAGTAAACTGCTTATAGTAGTTTACATTTGACTACGGCAAAAATAATTACTTACTCGTGAGTATTTTCTATCCAAAATTAAGTTCAATTGACTCAAATTTGAGAATATCTCATATACTCACTAGTAGCAACCGGTGGAGCACATTCTGCTGGAAGCTCTGGCGAAGCTGAAAATTAGGCTGTTCAATAAAGGCACCACCAGCACTTTTCGCAGAGATGGCCGGGAATCCATTATCGACGTCACTTTATGCGGACTGCAGTCCGTCGCTGGTGGAAACATGAATTGGAGAGTGTGTGAAGGATATACCAATAGGCACTCCGATATGGTATCGGCCAACGGAATCCTGTGGCAGTACAGAGGACGGGAACTTGCTACCTGAAGTGGAAGACGAGTTGACAGAATCGTTAGGGAGAGCATGTGACACGACCGTGCCGAGGAAACTGGAGCTAAATAACAGACGGCATTCAGCTTACTGCTGCAATAATTCTGGCAATTAGCACCCTCCGCGCTAGTTGTCTCAGAGCCAGAAGACGTGTTCAGAGAGCAAGAACAGAAGCAGACAGAGAGGAACGTAGAGGAATGTTCCGAGCACATAAACGAGAGATAAAGCAGAGCAAGTCAAACTGTCAACAGGAGCTGGGTCGAGACGCTGCTGCCAACGATGCACACCGTGTCGTGATGACGAAGATCAGATGTCAAGTCATGACCGCTGCAATTTGCTTAAAGAACCTGAAAGTCATCGTGGAAGGACTTTTCTCGAAGCACGATCCAACGACCTGGCCACCTGCATCGTACGGAGACGGAGAGGGAGATAACGACGAAGTCACCAACGAGCAACTCGTAGCAGTGCCTACTGATGGCTATAGGCTAGTCAAGTAGTGAGTCAATTTAAATCGTTAGTTTTCACCGGTTGGTTGAACTATGTTTGACAATTGGCCGTAATTTTAGGTACCTAACTGACCATTCAATTTCTCAAATAAAATGAAAATCTCCGTCTCGAAAGCTCATCCATTCTAGTGCGTAGTGATATTTATAACTGGACGACTGTTGAGTCTTCGAGACGGCAATCGATGGCAAACGGTGTGAGCTTCCACTCCGCGAACGAATGTTTTTGTTTGCTTTGAGATACAATGGATAGGGAAACAAGTTGAATGGTGCGGTACTCTCCTGTATCGATCCTGATAGCTCTACATTTCGCACAGGAGCTATTAGACTTCTCGACAAGTACAGCGCAGCAACGCTTTCTCAAATTAACCATGTAGTTAACGAAAATAATCGAAGTTAGGACCTCTGGTTCGTGAGCACTCTGGACAGGGCTCCATTAATTTCCTCGGCTCCTTGTGCACTAACTAAGCGAGTTCCACATCACCCTCCTCTAATTGTCATTGTTGAGAACAAACTCATGCGTGATTTCGATGACTATTATGCTACGGTTTCTTATGACTTCCGTAAGGCTGACCACCGTAGCATCATAGATGTATTGTCTAGCATGGTATGGGAGAACACCCTTGATCCTGATGACGTTGAGGCTGCAGCGCAAACGTGTTCACATGTCTTGGCATATGTCATTGACAGACACGTCCCGAAAAGAACTCTCACCACAAAATGTCTCACCCTCCTTGGCAGACGAAAGAGCTTCGTAGGTTGAAGTCAACCAAGAGAGCATTGAGAAGTTTTACGAAGTATCGCACGCTTCCGCTGAAACTTCAATATGTGACGCTGAATCACATGTACCAGCGAGTCAGTCGTGAATGCTTTTCAAGTTTCCACCAACGAGGCATCCAGCGAAAACTTAAGCAACACCCGAAATCGTTTTGGAACTACGTGAACGAGTAAATGATTAAACGCTGAATGCAACACGCCAGGAATTTCCACCCTGCCGAGAACGACATAATTAGGGCAACATGTGAAAAGGGCCTAAATAACAGTAGCATCTAGTAAAAGAAACTTACTCTATCAGATGGTATAGTGAGGCTGCATGTGTTTGCTTATTATGGTAGATTCAGATGTTGGTAACCGCTTACGGTAGGTGACATCCTGCTACGAAAATACAACAGTGCTGGCACACATTTTCAAATAATTACTTCTTTTGTTGTTTTGTATTTAATTCACCTTAAACGCTAAACAAATCTCTATACACTATACAATCATTACCTATCCTAGGCTAAATTTGCTCGTTTGTGTTTCTCGTTTGTTTGTTTTTATTTTTTTCTAACGTCCAACAATGTTTTTTTTTTATTGTTTTTCGTCCCATTATCGCTTACTGAGACTGAAAACATCCACTTCAGTATCTTTGTTTCTCTCTATTATTTTTTTCTGTTGCTTGTCTAAGATCACTTGAGTGTTTTGTATTTTTGTTTCGAAATTTATTCCTTCTTATTCAGACTCCAAATATTAGCTTCTTCGTTTTTCCTTTGTTTTGTTTAGAAACCAAACTCACCATGAAAATTTACATTCTCACAGATTAATTTGCATGCAACGATTTCGATTTATTTTTTTGAAGAACTAACTCGATAATTCAAACAATGTTTTGTTCAAAAGCTACTTTCTTTGCACAGCTCTGCTCTAATGTCCGCCTACCGTTCATTCTCACCAGCAACGAGTATGAGAATATCGACCATTCCGGAACAAATTTGAACGAACTAAAGTCTACCGGCAAAAAACGCTTCACAACTACTAAATCTATTATACACATATGTCGGTATCATTCGATTCTGATCTTCAGCTTCGATATTTCCAATTATACTTATAAAAACAGTTTTGTTTTCATCCGGTTTGTTTTGTTACAGCAAAACAAAGTACACAATAGTGGTACATAGTTCAAACGCGGTTTTGGGGCGCGTTAGTAGTAGAGACCAAAGGAAAGTGAAAACCAAGGAAAATCCGACCGCCCGAAATGTCTAATCCGGTCGGTAGATTGGCGTTTTGGGTATAAACTCTATCAGCAGGACGTACTCCATCATCGAGTTGGAGTCACACTGCTGCTTGCTGAGCCGCCAGTGCAAACCGAGCTTATGGTACAAATGACTATTCTCCCACTCCAGCAGCTTATTCATGGTATGCTGGGTCTGTAATAATGAAAGCAGAAAAAATTAGCGTCTTGAAATTGGTGACAGTGTGATGCGCCTCTTACCCTCTTACTTAAACATATCACAGGCCATAGGGAACATCCGAGGGTGCAGCAACAGCACACGCATCCGCAAAACAGCCACTTCACGTTGACCGGAAGCGTCTTCTTGAGGACCGCGTTGATGCGCAGGATGGTCGCTTTGAACTCCTCGGGGGCAACGCGCGACACCAGACCGGCTGGGAACTGCACGTTGAAGCGATTGCTCAGACCGAAACTGGAATGGAAAGAGAGAGAAAGATGGTACATTATATTAGGTAAGGTGACGTCAGCTTAGAATCAATATTTCCCAGCTCGTAAATCACGAACCAAACGGCGGCAAAGTGGTCATAAAATTCATGCAAAAGCTTTAGTATTGCGCCACACCTCCTCACGCGAGACCATTATGCTCAATTATAATACAGGTACACCGCATCAGCCGTACACTATTGCGATATGAAGGCCTATTGTATATGTACATATGTACGTTTGATAGAGGGAAAAGGGTAAGTGAGAAGATCCGGACAAAGCCGTACATGTGCTGATCGGCCGACCGACTGACTAACCCTAGACGGGAGGAATACCTAGTGGCAAAAAGAGTGTCCAGTCAAGGTGAAATGTCGCACACTGTTGTGCTGAGCTAATTGTGCAGAACGGAACAGTTCATAATCGAATTGAAAAAATGATGAGCTGTTTTTGTGTGCAACCATGCGAATACTTCGAGGCACGGAATAATGTAGTTTTAAATGAACGTCTCAAATCCGTTGGCACCGATTTTCGTGATATTAATTCAGATTTTTTCCAGGTCACCTAGCATAGTTTTCCCGGTTCAATGGAAACAGCTAATTATGGTAAAAAATACACCAAGTATTGCACTTTCCGAGATTTATTTCCGTTTTACGGATTAATTCCAAGAAGAAGAAGTTCCACTGCAGCTGTCATTAATGACCTTAAGGCTGTGAACCATTTGCAGAGTTAAATTTAACTCGTGGTTAAAAGTGACATTACGAAAGTTATTCTGTATTCCCTGTGCTGTCGATCGACCGGTTTTCGAGAAGAACTCAGCCGCGGTTGTCAAAATTTAACTTCTTGTCTGTCAGAAATAACCACGCTCGGATAGCAGGGTTAATCAATAACTTTCCATCTGTCAAATTTTAACCAAAAGTTAAAAAAAATCCACCAATTGGTTCAGAGCCACTTGAGCTGCATTTATTATAACAAAAAAATTAAAAGCATTTTCTCAGTGCATTTTTGGCTGCGTGTAGTTGTAAGTGACACCTCCCACTAATACATGCATGTATACATGAAAAGTTTTGTCCTGTTTTGTTGTTCGCTTCGGTTCGCTCAAATCCACACTCTTGACTTGAGAAAATTATTCCGCAGAAAAAATCCGTTGAAATTTCTGGTGGCAGCATTAAAAATCTCCACCGGAATCGTGCAGAGCCGCCTCCACCGAAAACGCGAGAAAATTCCGTGGAAGTTCACTGGAACCTCCTTTGGTAGCACCGAAAAGCTCCACCGAAATCTCTCGGAACCCTCCCGCATAAACGCGAATCATAACTTTACCTTACCGAAAATGGTTAAAAATTGTTTATAATCCTTGCTAAACTTTAACTGAAATGGTTATGGAACTTTACATGAACGTTTGTGTGATAAAGTTTGAACCTTATGTATTAAGGTTTTTTGGAAGTGAACCTTACAAATAATGGGTTGTTAAGAACCATTACCATTCCAAATTCTTGTTTTCATCATACATTTTTGGGAAAGGAATTATATTGGAACCATTTTATTTATGGTTTGAGAACTTTAATGGTAATGGTTATGGTAGCCAGTAAGTTTCATTAATGGTTTTGTATTATCGGTCAACTTTACGTGGAATATATCGCGAATTGGTAATCAGTAATTTATAGGCAACCTATTTGCGATATATTCCACATAAAGTTGATGGATATTACAAAATCATCTGTGAACCACCAGGGGTTAAGGCTGTGTTCCATTTGGTGATTTTTTACTTAAATTTGACAGATGGAAAATTTTCAAATAAACCTGCTATTCCAGCAGACTCATTTCTGACAGGCAAGGAATAAATTTTGACAGACGCTTTGTCGAAAATCGGCCGATCAACAACAGAGGGATTTTCGAACATCTTAATTTATTTTCGAAGTGTCAAATCTAAGTGAAAATTTTCCAAATGGAACACAGCCTACGCGGAGAAAAAATACTACCCAAAATTTGAGTTCTTTTTACTTAATATTGACTTTAGCCTCTCACTTGCACTCGTTATTGTTGTCAAAAAAGGAACAAGAGATTCGACCCAACGATATAAAGGGTGATACGGTCAAAATTTGGTCAAGGGAAAACGCGTGTAAATCGGTGAAATCGTTTATTTAAAAAATCAAATTAAATTTCTTTTTCAAGTTCAATTAGTATAAAATTCAGGAAAAATATTCAGTTAGGCTTCCGCTTTTCCAAATCCGAATTGCCGGGCCTTACGCTTGACCCCTGCCATCAGATTTTGTACAGCCACCTTGTCCACCTTCTTCGCCGCAGAAAGCCAGTTTGCCTTGAACTGCTGCTCGCCCTTAGCAGTTTTTTTGGTCTTCTTTAGGTTCCGCTTGACAATAGCCCAGTATTTCTCAATTGGGCGGAGCTCTGGCGTGTTGGGAGGGTTCTTGTCCTTGGGAACCACCTGCACGTTGTTGGCGGCGTACCACTCCATGGCCTTTTTACCGTAATGGCAAGATGCCAAATCCGGCCAAAACAGTACGGAACAACCGTGTTTCTTCAGGAAAGGCAGCAGACGTTTATTCAAACACTCTTTCACGTAAATTTCTTGGTTGACAGTCCCGGAAGCTATGAAAATGCTGCTTTTCAAGCCACAGGTACAGATGGCTTGCCAAACCAGATATTTCTTTGCGAACTTTGACAGTTTCATGTGCTTGAAAACATCTGCTACCTTTCCCCTTCCTTTTGCCGTATAAAACTCCTGTCCCGGAAGCTGCTTGTAGTCGGCTTTGACGTAGGTTTCGTCGTCCATTACCACGCAGTCAAACTTCGTCAGCATCGTCGTGTTTTGTTTTGTTTATCATCGCGATTTGGAGTCACTACCTTCTTGTAAGTCGATAGTCCGGCTCGTTTTTTGGCTTTGCACGGTTGTAGACGATACACCCAGCTTATTTGCGGCATCTCGGAGAGAGAGGTTAGGGTTTCGCTTGAAACTACCGGCAACTCTCTTTGTCGTCTCAGCGGCTTCCGGTTTTCGATTTCCGCCCGATCCAGACTTCCTGGCTGTCGACAAACGTTCCCCAAACACTTTAATTACATTTGTAACGGTTGATTTGGCAACTTTTAGCGATTTTGCCAACTTTGCGTGCGAGTAGCTCGGATTTTCGCGATGCGCGAGCAAAATTTTGATACGCTGCTCTTCTTGCTTGGACGGCATTTTGACAACTGAAGAGTGAATTCCAAAATCAAAATAGGAGCAACATTCTACACACACACACCTTCAAAATGAGGGGTGTTCAGGTTTTTTAAATGCAAAATTGAAAGAAATACGTCAAGTTGATATTGACCAAATTTTGACCGTATCACCCTTTAGTTCAGCCCAATAAGTTACTCTTGAGTAAAATGCATATTCTCAAATTTACGTGAATTAAACTTAATTTTGGGTAGAATATACTTAAGAGTAGGTTTTTTTTTTGCTGATGTTAAATGGAAACTATTATATGCGATTTACTCAAATCTAGATAGAGCTGGAATTAGGGCGTAACAGCTTTTGTAAACAATGACTTCTCTCGATGATTTCTCGGAAGCCATAGCTCTCCCTGGCAAATCGACATCACCATCGAGTAGAGAAAGACTACTCCTACCCGATGAATATGTTGTTTTGTGTAGGCGTGCCTTGAATTCCGAGAAATCCACGAGAGAAGTCATTGTTTACAAAGGCTGTTACGCCCTAATTCCAGCTCTATCTAGAAATTTGGGTTATTGGGCTGAACCCCGGAATTGAGGGAAAAGTACTTAATTTTGAGTAGTTTTTCATCTCCGTGTAAGGCGCTGAACCATTTGGTGGATTATTTTAACTTTTGGTTAAAATTTGACAGATGGAAAGTTATCGATTAACCCTGCTATCCGGGCGTGGTTACTTCTGACAGACAAGAAGATAAATTTTAACAACTGTTTCTTCTTGAAAACCGGTCGATCGACAGCACAGGGATTTTCGAACATAGGGAATAACTTTCGAAATGTCATTTTTAATAACGAGTTAAATTTAACTCGTCAAATGGTTCACAGCCTAAGGCTGTGTTCCATTTGGAATTTTTTCGAGAAAGCATCTGTCAAAGTTGATTCCTTGTCTGTCAGAAATAAATGTGCTGGAATAGCACGTTTATTTGAAAATTTTCTATCTGTAAAATTTAAGTGAAAATTCACCAAATGGAACACAGGCTTAGTAAATTTTCACTTAAATTTGACAGATGGAAAAATTTCAAATAAACCTGCTATTCGAGCAGACTTATTTCTGACAGATCAGGACTCAAATTTCCCAAACACCTTTTCGAAAATCGAACGATCAGCAAGAGGGATTTTCGAAGAGTATAATTTATTTTCGAAGTGTCAAATTTAAGTGTAAATTCACCAAATGGAACACAGCCTAATACCCCGTTTACATTACAGCCTATATCACGTAATATAGGCTGTCTTGCGATGAGCACTCATACATAGGATTTGCAGTGAAAAATAGATGTATAAGTGCTCATTGCAAGACAGCGTATATCACGTGATATATGCTGTATTGTGAACAGGGTATAAGCATAGAGGTAACTCTAAGACCACTGGGTCCCGAAGAAAATCATTATTATTTTTGGCTCACTCAGTACCAGAACAACGGTCCCAAGCAGTCCCAAGCTATTTCACTCACCCCTGCATGTTCTGCGTGAATCCACACACCCCTGATGTTATCTGTCAAACTTTCATAGCGAATCAAAACAAACATAGTGTAGTAATAGAATTTCAACTAGAATAGGGTACGTTAATCGTTTGCTTGGGACCAATAGGCTACTAAAGTGGTGAGCCAATTTAAAATCGTTAGTTTCGTATTGATTGTTGGTATAAGTATCGCCAGCAAGAATACTTCAAGTTAGTCAATGCACACTATGTTTTTTTTTCAGTATTCATCTCATTTTCATACTGGCGGTACAACTTTGACAGCTGCGGTAGAACTCTACGGTAGCCGCCGGA